ATAACATAAATATGTTATAAAATCACTACAAAAATAGCCATTTTGTTTCAACACCCTAGGTGTCTTATCAAGTGACCTTCAAAAGACACCTAGGGTGTTGAAACAAATGGCTATTTTTGTAGTGATTTTATAACATATTTATGTTATAATTTTTTTTAAAAATAATTATATTATATTATATAAATATAAAAGTGAACATAGAAGTCAACACTTAGAGGCGAAAGTCTGTTTTATGCTCAGGCCACGAGTGGTGTTATTTTTCTCGGCTATTTCGGAAATATATATATATATATATATATATATAATTAAATGAGGTTGGGTAGATGTCACATGTTTTTTTTTCTGGTGTTAGAATTTATGAACGTCCATTAGATATAAGTAGACACCTCCACTTATTCGCTGAAAAATTGTATATCATGATTAAAAGAGTGTTATCAGCAAAATCTTTGTTATTATTAGGACTAAAGACCAAAGCATTTTTTATTATTTAATTAGATTTTTTAATCCTTTCTAGCGCGTTTGAAATTTTGTTCAAATATTTTTGGAGGCATTAGTGTAGTGGGTGTCAGGGAAATTTTATCGCCATTTTAAGGTTGGTATGTGATCTTCCAGAGTTCGCGAGATCCAATTTGTTTCTTTTCAAACATGGCGTGTACATCTCGTGCGTGGCCGTTCTGACGAAAGTAAGGGCTAGACTACACCGCTCCTTGCAAAAGATATTGAAGTAATGATTTCTGTGAGCTGTGGCTTCAGCGAAATTTGGGGTGAACAATTGCTGACCGTTTTGCATTTACTGGAATTGTTTTTGTGATATAAATCACTCCACTCCAGAAAGGATCCATTCGAAGATTATGGCAGCAGTTTTGAGGGTAGCCGTTTTAAGAGCAGCATGTTTTAAGAAGGTTTGGATAGGAGCTTCCGTTATATAGGACAGAAAGCTGTTCTAGTCTGCCTTCGAATAGCGAAAAAGAGTTCTGTAGAATGGTAAATCAGGAGATGTCATTAGTTTGGAATCAATCTGGACACTGCATAGGGAAATAGGGGTAGGATCTTTACTAAGCATTTCTTAGGGCAGAATATTAGATAATGGTCGAGGAGGTTAGTCTGCTGTCTCGTTGCATCCGGTACTTGGGTGGATTCTTCAATGATCTGGGTTAGTTCATAGGTGATAAAAATTCTCTGCAATATCTGCCTTCATTATCGTTTTTGTTCGAGTGGAATAACCACTCTTTGTGGTGTACATTGGAGTCAACGCGTATGTGAAAGCTGGACGGAGATTCGGTGAGTATATTGTCAATCTTCTGTATTCGATCGAAAATTACCAACCCTTCATCCTGAGGGTGATAAAAAGCGAAGACGAATTTGGTACTATGTATAAGTGCCACGCGGAAGCAAACATACGGAAGGACAGGGTCCTCGTTTTTTTTTTGTCCCTGTCACAGGGAAACCTGTCTTTGATGTAGGCCCCGAGTGCGTGGCCTTGGCGAGTTAGGTGGTCGTATTTTGTTATAATGGGTGAGCAGACCGGGATTGTGAACTCCTGCAATATCATTGAAGCATTGATACCCGTTTTAGACAGGAACAGGAGGTCGTGTTTAGACTGAAGTAGGTGGAGTTCCACTTCTGGAAATTTGGATCGAGGACCACTTACGCTCGAATAGGAGATACTATACCTGGGGTCTACTTTTTGGGGTGGGGTTTGCTAGTTTCTTTTCCTTTTTAGTTTGATTACTGTGATGTTTGTTTTTCATTGGTTTGATGGATGACTGGTAGGGAGTGAGACTGATATCCATTGGAGATGCACGCATAAATAACTTCCGTTGACTCGTACGGAAATACTGCCCATCATCCTGGCATCGTGAGGTCACACCAGAGATTACTGCACGGTACAGAAACCATTCACAAAAGGGAAGTACAGTAACCCTGATATTTATACATATTGATAGGACAGAATATAACGATTACTTTACAATACATGTTAATATGAAACAGAAAAGAGTAAAGAGTTAAAAGAATAAAAAAAGTTAAAAACGATTGTGGAAGGCATACATTAAAACCAGCGATGTGTTGGTGGATTCTTGACAAAATGTACAAGCTAGAACGAATATCAATGGCATTGTCATGTGGGAGAAGGGAGGTAGGGGTATTTGAGTTTCTCTGGCCGAGATAAGGACCTATTCTACTAGTTTGTAGAGGGTTCGGGGGCGGGGAAGTACAGATCACCATTTGGGATCTTCCTTACTTATACTATGTCGAATGTGCATATAAAAATGCCCAAGATCCCCTCTTTTGTAAGCGACGATATCAACACAAGAACCTGTTTACAATCCAGGAAAAACTTCCATTAAATATAATGTGATCAACAATGTTATTAATCTTGGCACTCTTACTAATAACAAAGAACCATTAAATTAATTCGTGATATCGATAATCACTAGTTTCTCCTCTCGATTGTAAATAAATCAATGCCCTGATGTTATTACAGGTGTTCGAATTGGGAATTATGTGCATGTACATAATAATAAATTGTAATAATAAATTGTTTCCTTGGTAGCTCCTCATTTCTATATTTATGCAGATACACACACATAAGCATATATATATATATATATATATATATATATATATATATATATATATATATGCATATTCATAAACACTTACACACACACACACACACACACACACACACACACATATATATATATACATAAACACACACACATCCCAAATATAGGACGCACACGCACACACACAACACACACACACACACACACACACACACACACACACACACACACACATATATATATATATATATATATATATATATATAAGTTTTCTCGAATAATAAAGTTGGCAGATGTTGTTGGATAAATAGTAATTTAAAAACATAGCTTCTATCCGAATATGTGTATTAATAAAATATAACGTTTAAACAAAATAAAAAAAACACACACACACACACACACACACACACACACTATATATATATATATATATTCATGAATTATTCATACAAAAACAAATACAAAAGGTTAATGATTTAATTATGAGAAATCCATCTTCGCGAACAATTCAAATAATATACAAAAACCCCGAACCTGTTTATGAATGAAAAGATCCTTGTTTTATAAATTTCAGTTGCATAAGGTCTTATTATTTTTACAAGCTTTCGTCTGTTTCTACAGACATCATCAGGTATTGAATAGATTTTGTTCTTGTTTTTACTCTCAGTAATAAGAGGACAACGAAAATAGAGATGTAATCCGAAAAATGCTATGAGAAATGTGTTATTGTTTTGGAACGTGCAGTCGCAACGCTGAGTTTAAATTTAAATTTTAAGCTTTTGCGTTTTGTACAAATATAGTGATAAGAGAATTCTTTTTTACTGGTAGATTTTCCGTCAAAGTGGCATGAACTATATTATTCAATAATTATAGTAATGTCGCACTTATTATCCGAAAGTTGCACTTGGATCAGTTATTTTAATTTTAATAAAGGTGCAATTAATTTACAAATTCATGAATTATTCATACAAAAAACAAATACAAGGGTTAATGATTTAATTGGCGAGAAATCCATCTTCGCGAACAATTCAAATAATATACAAAAACCCCGAACCTGTTTATGAATGAAAAGATTCTTGTTTTATAAATTTCAGTTGCATAAGGTCTAATTATTTTTACAAGCTTTCAAACAATAAATAAGAAATAAAACCGTACATCGAGAAACATTTAAGATTTAATGCATAATTCTAGTTTTGGATTTTATGAATTTTTTGTTGGCTACAGTATTCGTGTCGAGTCTCGGTTTAAGCAATTATTTCGAGTGCTTATTTTTAAGAAGGTGAGATCCGTCTTAGTGAAGCTAGCGCAGAAAAAAGAAAGAAAAAAAAACCAAAACAACAAAAAAAAACACTTGGCCTTATTTTTAGTAGCATAACAAGTTGTTTAGAACAAACAAATCAATGGATAGCAGATGCTATTATCTAGTTTTTCGATGGTCAAACTATACTCTATTTTTTCATCCTGAAAAATACAGCATGTGCAATAAACCTACACATGTATTTGTGTATCTGCGTATGTGTGTATGTGTGCATTTTGTATTCGCTGTTGTGCACGTATATAGCAAGTAAGGAGAATTTGACACCGGATGTAAGTTACTATGTTAAACTAGAAAGTCAAATTTGAGAATTCTACATCCATATCATTTTAGCATTGTGTCAAATTGGGCTACATTTCGAGTATTCAGACAGCATATCACAAAATAAAAACAAAATACCACAAATTATATATGAAAAAAAACCCCCAAAAAACCTAATAATCCGTGAAAATTTTTTTTTTATTGAAATACTTTTGACATGAATCGAGCCACCATAATACCATCCGTATTCCATTAGTGAGAAGTAAGTTACACTCAAGCAGCTTCTTCACATGGACCACTGCTCTGTGGAACCAACTCCCGAGAGTATGTTTTCTCGATCATTACAATCTTAACCTGTTCAAGTATAGAGTTAACCGTTATCTTCCCCACCTAGCCGCATAAACTGTGCCTCTTACTCTGTAATCCTCTACCTCAAGTGGCTTACGGGCCTTGTACAGGGTGAGCCTAACCGTAAAAAAATAAATTCCTTTCTGGAATTTCAGAAATAATTATGAGCCTAATTTTTAAATTAACAAAATAAATTTTCATTTTGATCTCCTGTTAAATTTGTGGATCATTTAATACTAATGTTTGAAATGTGCTAAAGATTAATGCGTCTTTAATCGATAATAAATATAAAGAAAAGAATTTTAATCGATCGAAGAGCTACAATCATGACACTTTCCATAGTTCGTAGATATATTTGAACTCGAATAATCATGCAGATACTCAATTAACTGATATGAATATACAATTCAAATAAAGATAAATTTTGTTATCTCTCTAATAAAACTAAAAAAAAAACATACAAGTTTAAGTGCGCTAAATCTCACTAAAACTGTGTATCGTTCCCATCAACCGTTGGTCGTTTCGTTAAAAGAACAAATTGTGGGACTCACCTTTCTCTTTGATGCTGCCATTCGCTGATCACGATTTTGTACAGCTTCACCAGGTGGACTCTTGATCCATACTACGTATCCTATCCGTGCGTAGGTGAATATAAGCACAACTAAAGGTATAAAGTATTGAAGAAGCATAATGACCATACTGTAACTGTAACGTTGATAATCATGTTCCCATATTTCTTGACACAAACCATCGAATGCTGCCGTTTCATTCGATCCAGTCCCGTTGCTTGAGCTGAGGACACGTGACACGACCGCTGTTGGTAAGGGTGCGGCTAATGCCAGGATCCATGTGACACCGATGATTTTAATTGCCTGATTGTTGGTTAGTTTAGGTCTGAGCGGATAGAGTACAGCAACATAACGATCCATGCTCATGGCGACGAGAGTGAAGGCGCTCAGGAAAACTGACACAGCCTGTATATATGTAACCACTGGGCACATGACATTCCCAAAAGGCCAGTAAGTAAGCATAACATTCGACACAAAAGTTAAGGGAATGCAGAGTATAGCCATCAGAATGTCACTAATGGCAAGGTTTAGCAGAAAAAAGTTAGTCGCTGTTCGCATTCTTTGGAAGACAAGGATGATATGACACACCAGAACGTTGCCACCGACAGCAACTAAGATGACTAATCCATAAAAAATGACGAAGATGATTTGGACATAAATTGGAGGTGGTTCATAATGCTCAACTTCAGTAAAGTTACTTTCAGATGAAGTTACATTTTCATCCATGATTAAAAGTTTTATATTAAACGCGGACTACAAGCTGAAATATACATAAGCAGCGCTTAAAATATACGTATTGCAAATATCAGCGTATGCTCTGGAGAGTTCAATAAATATTTAAAGCATTTTAGTTAATTTAATCTTAGAGCGAATAGGTTTAATAATATATTTCATTTTTACTTAATCTAATCATCAATAAATTTCTATATTTGTATATTTGATCTGGTCAACTCTACAGGTAGTAAAGAAAATCAGAGACAACAAATTAAATCAAGCCTTAAGTACTAATTTGCGTTAAGATTGAGAATAGAAGACCTTTCTGATTTATCATTCATATACCTAATATTTTATAAGATAAGGAATTAGTTGTTAAATGAAAATTCAGGTGGCCAGATACATACAATTAATGAAACAAAATGGTGTCCAAAAATTTGTAATGATTTTCTTCAAATATCAACGTCGCAGTCAGTTCAGATTACATTTTGGGTTGCTATTATTTAATATAATTTTACTTAAGACAGGCATTTATAGTCCCGATGCTGATATTGTTGAGTTGAAAAATAGATACGTATGGGATTTAAACTTATTACATTCTCCGCCTTTACTTGTCATTTTTGCAGTTATTTAACATAAAAGATGGATGCTGAAATTATACATATTTCAGTAAAAGTAACAGAGTTACTCTTGCAAATCAAAAGTTTCCTTTCATTTTCTGACAGAAAAATGGCTCTCCACTTTTGATGCACCTTGGTATCCTTCGTGATCTGAAAGAAGATAAGAAAGATAATTGGATTGAGGAAAAGGGAACCAATTATACAGGAGTTCATCCAAATCAAAGAAGAAAGTAAATTAAAAGAAACTGAAGAACTGTTGAGCAGATATATGCGAAAGTACTATAGACAAGGTCGTGCATGCATTTCGAGAATTTGGACTAATCATTTTATAGAAAACGATACGAATGTCCTCAGAGGGCACAGTGTATCTCGTCAAAAGACTATGTCTTTAGACAATGATGTTATCGCAACTTTAAATAATAGTAACAACAGACTTTACAGAATATAGAAAAATGTTTGTAGGCAAAGAAATTGAGAGAACATAATTCTAAGATTTTAAGCTAAGTTTTTGTAACCAAAGCAGAAAAGACTTTAGATAAAAGCTCCAGAACATTAAGATTAAAATGATTTCAATTGTTACAGAAAAGTTTTTATGTTAACACGGTTTCAATGATTGTAGCGGACATGATTCAAACGAATTCAGATAATAGAATGCTAATGATTTTATAGGATAAATACTCAAAGCTTTAGATATACTATTTTGAATGTGTCTAACAAAATGGGTCTACAAGATTCATCAATACAGTTTCAATAGCTTAGTATATATTATTTAAGCTAATATTGTAGAACACATTTTAAAAGAGTTAAAAAAAGAGTAAATTTCCAAACATTTAAAGGAAAATAGTTCCATATAAATTTAAAATATTCTTCAAAATGTTTTAGAAAACAGTATTCGTACATCGTTCGTTGGAAATTATAGTCCTTAAGAAAATATGGCCCCAAAAGCTTTCGCTCATTTTCTTGAAAATTTTGGGAGAATATGACTAAAAGATTTAAAGACATGCGATTGAAAGATGTCATAGATTACTGATCTATGGGATTTTGATATATGACATCGAAAAAGCTTTCGCGTGGCTATAGAGAATAGGACTTTAATTGTTTTGTCGTATAAGTATTCAAGAAAATGTATTTGCTAAAATAGGAAAAGTATGCACTAACTACAAGAAAAAGGAACATTTAAAATCGGCTGAAAATTAACGATAGGTATCGAACGTTTTGAACGAATTCACTAAAATTCATAGACAATATGTATGTTTTTCACAGAAAACCAAAAAACTATCATGTTAGAATTAATTAGAAAAAAAAATTAAAAATTATATTATATTATAATATGTGAATTGATACCCCTTGGCAAGCCAGAACAAAATGTGCTCATACCACATGATTTCCTTTTAAAAATATCATTATGATTTTTATTTTTTTAAAATTTTAAGGTGGTATAGGCAAATTGTATTTAGGTTTCCCTAAGGGGATCACTTTACAATGCATTTACATAATAAAATGGACCCTGTGTAAACTTTTGTAAAATTTTATTTATTTATTTGTAATTTGCAGTGATTAATCTACAGAAATATGAATAAAATAATTTGAATAAATGATTATTTCTGGTCGCAGTGTATATAGTACAACTTCGACCAAATATTTAAATTTTTAAGTTCAAATCTTTATTAAAATGTAAGGTTCATGCAATTTTCAGAATTAACCTGAAACATTCATAAAATGGCAGTTTAGTTAAAGTTTTTCTTTCTTTATCTCAAAATGGTGAAAAAAGTGCGATGTATCAAGTTGTCGTGGTAACTATAACAAGTACAATAAGATTTAAATATTTTGTTTTTCTCAAGAGCAGAATGGGCGAGAACAGAAGCTAAACCTGGAGACAAACCAAACAATATCGTTTGTGAAAGGCATTTTTCATCTGGTTATGAAGCAGTCATAATTAGAGGAAAAGTATATGATCCTTTCGCCATAAATTGTATTACATAGTCCTCAAACAAAATCAAGAACTATAAATAAAAATTCCGTTTCTGTGAGAAATGTGCAAAATGAAGAGTAGGCGCAATTTCTACAAAATGGCTAAAGTATCATTTTTGAACATTTGTATTACAGAGGTTAATAATCAGGATTTTGAGTCAACAGTTACATATTATAAATCGAGCAGTCAGTAGTTCATTCTATTATGTTGATTTTTTTCACTAGACGTATTCGAAATTTTTAATTACAAGATTTGAAAATTTAGGTTTGAATGTTAATTTGCTGGTATATATATTCAACAATGTTTTCTCTTTCAGAAATCAAATATTAATGTTTCGGTACTGGTATCATTGAACGTGTTGTAATTTTGAAAAATTGTTACTGTCAAAGAAGTACTTGTTGATATGAAGAAAAATGATCCATTGTAAAAAGTGATATCAGACTTAAAATATTAAAATATGACATTTCCTTCTAAGTTTTGAAAGATCAAAGAAAAAAGATTTAAGCCATTTACGATGAACACCTCTTTAACTGCTAGGCATCCATGTAACTGTTTGATGTTTACAGATATTTTCTGAGCAGTGAATTTAATTTTATTATCCTTGGTGAATTTATCAAATATTATTTAAAAATTCAGTTTGTTATATCAAGACAACATTTTGGCGGTTCATAATTTATAACAGTACTAAATGTTATTGAAAAAAATGTATATGGAAAAATAAATTCATCAGTTGAATGTTGATGTTAAAGAATACAATTTTTGAACTACGCCATAATTGCACAAAATATTAATATTTGATGGATGAAATAGCATATTAAATATTTTATAGCTTACCAGGCTAGGATCTCTAGACATATTAAAATGTCACATACAGGTTTCAAGAAAAGAGTGTCGCACAGAAGGGGAAATATTTAATAATACAACTTGCTATTCCCAAGAATATGTAATTTTTAAAAGAAATTGAAAGCTTTGGCAATTAAAATACCGCAGTTCACTGGGTATTTTCCTGTTTTATATGCTGGTGCTATTAAATTTAAAACTTTAAATAATTCTTTGACGGATATGTTTGTTAGTTTCTGAAATGTATCATTTTAATATAAAATGAAATCATGAGATAATTGTGTGAAATATAATATTAAAGAATTATTGTTTGTTTGATTCTTCTAAGGTAACAAAAGAAGCATTACTAAAAGTTAAAAATATTTCTTTAGTTCCTTTGTACAATTAAAATTAAGACTGCATAATCGGTATTGAAAATGCTTATTGTTTCATGTAGTAAATATATGTTCATGAATCTACATTAAAAATGACATACGCATTCAGAGAAATATCTACTGAGTTATTTTTTACTTTTAATTTTCACTTTAACTGATTAACTCCCTAAGTTTTCCTGTCAATTTTATGTTCCTATTAATGCAAATTGATTTTAATTATTATTAAATAATAGTAATATCTATTATCATATTGAAAAAAAAAATACTTCATCTTCTGTAAAACAAAGGCTAACACTTGTCGATGTGACAAAAATCACCGGACAAATTAACAAAATTATCAAAATTATTGCTTGTATTGAATCATTATTTCTGCAGTATGATGTGAAATATTCCTAATTGTGGAGGAATAAAATGATTTTTGTGCATTCTTTTAGTAGAAAAGGTTAGTTTTTTCTTTCTTTTGTAGATTTTTACTTATTAGTACTAAAACATACGATTGAATCAAACTTGCTTAACAGTAAACCGATGAGATCTAATAGTCAATCTAGTATTCTTAAATTCATGCAGTCGAAGCACCAATGAAGAGCCATGAAAATATTTGAAGAAAAGCCAGGAGGAAACCACATCACGGCGATAGGAAAGTGACTTGTGATAACTTTGGATTTTGTCAAGAATCTTGAGATATATATCAGGAGCATCTGACCAGATATGGCAGTAATATTCAATGCATGGTCGAATCGTAGATTATAAATGTGAAAGACCAAATTTCCAAGCAGCAGAACTAGCAATTGATTCAATATAATAACTAAACATCATGTCAGTGGAAAACTTGAGACCAAGATGACGCAATGAATTACTCTTCTGAAGATTAGTATCAGCCAGGAAGAAAACGTTCCCTGTGGTGATTGAATG